AAATACCTGTAGATTAAGGTGTCCAGAAAGCTGCCCAGAAAGTCTTTTTGTTTCTTTTCGTACATCCGTTTAAAACCAACAAATGCACCAATTAAATTACGATTTCTTTCATTAGAAAGGCCAATTATTTCTCTGCAAAATAACATTAAAATGGGTTTCAAATGTCTTACTTCTGGATTCTTTTGAGAGCGTGAAGTCGGGTAGTCACAAAGAACGGCTTGATGATGCGGTTTAGACACTTTAGCTAATGGAAACCTATCTTGGTGTCAATAGATAAAAGATACCTGTATATATAAAAGATATGTATAAAAGATACCTGTCAATAGATAAAAGATACCTTGCTATTAAATTGTATTTTGAAATACCTGTAGATTAAGCTGTCCAGAAAGTCTTTTTGTTTCTTTTCGTACATCCGTTTAAAACCAACAAATGCACCAATTAAACTACGGTTTCTTTCATTAGAAAGACCAATTATTGGCCAATTTTTCTGTAAAATAATAAGTAAAACCGATCAACGGGGACAATGTGTGAAGAATGGGGCGCATTGTGCTTTTGCTCACTCACTCACAACAGCTTCGGAGCGGGCTCGCTTCGTGAAAGTAGTTCGTGAACCAGCTCGTGAACTCGCTTCGTGAACTCAGGGAATAGTCGTGAACTCAGTGCAGGTGGTGGTTGGAACTCAGCTTCGTGAACTCAGCTTCGTGAACTCAGCTTCGTGATAGTGATTCAAGATTTATAGGCTTTACGACTTCGAACGAAGTACGAAATAGTGAAGTTTACATCACGAAAAGTCGCACTTCCGCTTTTCCAAAGCTTTATTTGTCATCCCAGATGACTCTTTTCTTACAATCAGGAATTTTGTGATGCTTTTGTGATGCTGATTCTTCATTCCTAGGAAAAAAAACAGTTTTCACAACCGATTGCAACGAAAACTTTCACAACTTCTCCCGCAAACTGATTAGTTAATCGTAAAAATTCGAAAAATCTTTGAATGCTTTCTGCTTTGAATGCTTCTCTTGTGAACCCAGTTCATTCAAAATTGGCTACAAGGTTAGAGAGGCAGATAAGGTCGAGTAAACAATCGAGCTACGGTAGAAAGCCTCGAGATTTGAGGTGATTGAGATTTCTTTGTCAAATTTTCTCTGATTTCTTTGGTTTGGAGCTATACCTTTTTGCAAAGATGCGCAAGCAAATAGTAATATTGTAGAATCAGTTGAAAAGCCCGCTGTTTAAAATTAGAGTGACAGGGGTCGAAACCGAATCGTATGGGCCGTGGATCAGCGCTCTCCCGACTGCGCCACGGCGACAAATACCCTGCAACCAAAAAAACCCGCCTAAGAGCTAAAAAACCAGCCTAACAACTGGAAAAAACCCGCTTAAGAACCGGAAAAATCCACCTAAGAACCGGAAAACCCTGCCTAACAGCGAGTTTTTCTGACCGCAAAGTGTTTGTCGCCGTGGCGCAGTCGGGAGCGGGCTTGTATACGGCGCCCCGAGTTCGAGGCCGGGCCGGGGTTCGACCCCCGTGGTGCTACTCAATGTTGACTTTTTTAATTTTTGATTCGAAATGAATGACTATATTATATTCTAAGGTTTTCTAAAGAAGTTTTAGCTTTATTGGTCAAAACAGATAGACAGACAGACAGACAGACACTGCTCTTTTATATACTAGATAGTAATAGACAGACAGTAGATAGACAGACAGACAGACACTACTACAGTAACCACAGCTACACTCCAAGCCAAGCAAAATGAGCCATCTAAACTTCAATATGTACTTTGTACTCAGGAATCTAAACATCTGGCATTCTGACATTCTTGATACCCCCAGTTTCTAGTTTTTCCTCTAGTTACAGCTAAAGAATATTCAAATGAATAGGATATTGTCAGGGTTTCCAATTCGTTTCAAGCTGATTCGGTTGCTGTGACTGGTGGACTTGACGGAGTTGTTGAGTGAGTGAATTTCAGACGCTTCAGAAGCCTTTCAATTCACATCTAGACCTTTTCTGAGCTGATTTCTGAGCTTAATGTAAATTGTTTTACTTTTTTAGGTCTCTCCTAACTAATTACTATTTATTCGTCTCTAGCTTCTGATCCTGACTTTCCTTGGCTCGGAAAAGCTTTCCTTGGCTCGGAAAAGCTTTCCTTGGCTCGGAAAAGCTTTCCTTGGCTCGGAAAAGCTTTCCTTGGCTCGGAAAAGCTTTCCTTGGCTCGGAAAAGCTTTCCTTTTAAACGTTGCTACTTGTAAATATCAGTAAAATCGTAGCCTTTGCTCAGCATCATTTCACCTCAGCATTATTTCACCCCCAAACTTTCAATATCACATGGATTTTGTATCCTTTCAATCCTTTCAAATTTTTTTTGTTTATTTACACGCTCAAAAGTCATTCTACCCGGTTTATTATCTCGTTTTTAACGTTTTTTTTCCTACTCCGGTGTCAAGGGGCACACAGGGATTTCTCGTAAAATTCGATCCAAGCCACAAACTCTTCTCGCGTTTTTTGCTTCGTAAGAAATTCCTCACGTGTGCGTTCTAGAAAAACCTCTCGAAAAGCATTGATAACGAAAACATCTGAGTGAAGCTTTTTGTTTTGAATTTCGAGCGGAAAAAGGGGTTTTCGTAAACAATCCTTTGCCTGTTTAAGTTGAGGAATCTTTTCTGGTTTCAAAGCTTGACAAAGTATAGTTAGTTTAGTTCAATTTGAATTGATATTTGTCTCATCTATGACCATTAAAGTTTGATACGATTGAAAGTGACGGTTTTTCTGAAATTGTCATTGAAATTGATCATTGAACTAATGTGGAAAACGCCAGTTTTATAGCCGGCTATAGCTGGTTATAGCCGGTTTTCTCTAAAGCATTAATTGTTGAAATTTTTGAATTCAACATTTTTTGATTCTTTTGCTAAGTTTTGATCGTATTTGTGATGTTTTATATTTCAATATATTTCAGATTTCATCTTTCATACCGTAAATACTGTAATTGGACCCCATGGGGTACCATTTTTTTCCCTCCTCCTCTAGGGTGGGGTATTATTAGAGAGGTGGGGTCCAATTACAGTATTTACGGTATTTCATTTGTACGTTTGACCGGATTTTAGACGCAGTGAGCTCGGCAAGATGCAGGTTTTAGACGCAGTGAGCTCGGCCAGCTCGGCCAGACTCTAGCTTGGTCCGGTCAGAAGCTAGATTCTGAACTTTTTGTCATGCAGAGAAAGCCAGGAATAAAGCGGAATTGTTAGGAAGACTCGAACTCAAGCAAAAAGTACATAACGTGCCTTGTATCCTTGTAAACAGTCTTTGGCTTGTAAACAATACATAACGTGCCTTGTATCCTGACCTCTTATCCACTACGCCACCAGCTCATATGAGCTCATAGGAGCGAGAGCCTTTTAAGCGAAATTTCGCAAAATTTTAGCATTTAGCAAACTTCTATGTCATATATCTCGCGTTTGCGTTATTAGATCAGATCCGAATTTTTGCAGCTGGCTTTTGTAGCTGATTTTTGCACCATTGTGCTCAGCATAGTCAATTCTACAACTCCTAAGGCATCGGACGATCGGCAAGAGCAAGCTGGGGTACTTTAATGATCTAGCTATCAAAGGCGTTTATCAAATCTAGATGATCTAGCTTCTGCCATGATCTAGCTTCTGCCATGATCTAGCTTCTGCCATGATCTAGCTTCTGCCATGATCTAGCTTCTGCCATGATCTAGTTTCTTCCATGATCCAGCTTCTGCCATGATCTAGCTTCTGCCATGATCTAGCTTATGCCATGATCTAGCTTCTGCCATGATCTAGTTTCTTCCATGATCCAGCTTCTGCCATGATCTAGTTTCTTCCATGATCTAGCTTCTGATCCTGACTTTCCCTGGCTCGGAAAAGTTCTCCTTTTAAACATTGCTACTTGTAAATATCAGTAAAATCGTAGCCTTTGCTCAGCATCAAACTTTGAACCAACATTTTGAGACTAATAAGTAGAAAAAGCCGACCGGAAGAACATTACTATGCCTACATTCACTGCCTATTCACTGCCTACATATTCACTAATTACCGTTTCTCCCTAAAGATAGATTTTTCAGCTTTTCAGCTCATTTTCAACTAGATACTGTGCTCTTCGAATTAGCTTTCCATTGAGCATTTTGTAAAAAAAGATTTTTACGATTTCAACAGTTTGAATTAGTTAGGCTCAGCTGTTATCATTACGAGAGAATTGAAAAGCATGTGATCGAAATGAATTGATTTTGGGGGCTCGATTTGATCAGAGTAGTTTTAGCTTGATCCAGTTTTGTTCTATGAATGTTTAAAGCTTCTCAATATTGACTTCGTCTTATGAAACGTCTTATGAAAGCTCTTAGCTTATGTCTCTTAGCCTTTGCTCAGCATCCTTTGCTCTTAGCTTATGCCTTATGAAAGACTTTTATGTCTTATGAAAGCTCTTACAGTCGCGTTGACATAACTTTTGATTTGCATAAAGCAGTTGCTCAAAATTCGATCATAAACTTATATACCTTATTCTCTCTAATAGTAGTGCGCAATACTATTTTTTCAACCCTCTCCTGGAGCGCAATACTATTAGAGAGTGCACTACTATTAGAGAGAATACGGTAAGTGATATTTTTACACATTCAAATACTTCTGGATTCACTCATTCATGGATTCTGTCTAACAATTCTAACAATTCTAACAATTTTGCTATTAGAGCTCAATATTCTTTGAACTGACAAACCAATTTAACATTCTGGAACTGACAAACCAAGGTACAAAGTTCAAAGTTCAGAGCAAAGTTACTTATAAAAGTACTTTCAATTTCAACTTCAATTTACTTTCCTTTCCTTTGTAGAATCTGTAAATAATCCTTGCTTATAAAGCTTTATTGGCAATCTTCTGTTTAGCAGAAACATTTTACCGTAAATACTCTACGAAGGGCTCTTCAATCAGAATAAATAACGTATATTCTTTTAACAATTGATCCAAAATGGATGAACCAAAATGGTTATCATTTCACGTAGCGCAGCCGCATCGTAGCGGTTCTTTCCCTACGTTCTTTACGCTTCTTTCGATCAAAATTTGCTCCCGATGAACTTCTCATTGCTCCCGACGAACTTCTCTCTGCCGAATCTAGATGAGCGGCTGTCAGAAGGAAAGAAACTCGTCGTGAGTCGTCCCGGTCGTTCCACTTCGTAATGCTCTTCTCGTGAAACTCAGAGGGGACCGCTCCCCGTTCTTCCATTCCCTCAGCCTTCCCGTCCCTCCTCAGCCCCCCGAGGGACTCCCCAAGCCTCAATTCTCTCCCCATTTCCCCTAATATTTCTTCACTTTTTTAGGGCCCCCGACGACGGCCAATGTTTTTTGAGTGTCGTGGTTGGGGCGTTCTCGTGAATCGACGATGTTCCTTTTTCGGGGACACACACAAGAAAAGCTAGGCATTCAACGAGAAGAAATCCAAAGTATTGAGTAAAAGAGGAATGAGAGGAAAAAGAAAAGGATGAGTTCTTCCCTCTAGGGGAAATGGCTGATAGTGCTCCTCATCCTCCTCACTTTTTTTTGCGTGCGTATTGAGCTAGCTTTTGCGTTGAGCTAGCTTTTGCGTTGAGCTAGCTTTTGCGTTGAGCTAGCTTTTGCGTTGAGCTAGCTTTTGCGTTGAGCTAGCTTTTGCGTTGAGCTAGCTTTTGCGTTGAGCTAGCTTTTGCGTTGAGCTAGCTTTTGCGTTGAGCTAGCTTTTGCGTTGAGCTAGCTTTTGCGTTGAGCTAGCTTTTTGCGTTGAGCTAGCTTTTGCGTTGAGCTAGCTTTTTGCGTTGAGCTAGCTTTTTGCGTTGAGCTAGCTTTTGCGTTGAGCTAGCTTTGCGTTGAGCTAGCTTTTGCGTTGAGCTAGCTTTTGCGTTGAGCTAGCTTTTGCGTTGAGCTAGCTTTTGCGTTGAGCTAGCTTTTTGCGTTGAGCTAGCTTTTGCGTTGAGCTAGCTTTTGCGTTGAGCTAGCTTTTGCGTTGAGCTAGCTTTTGCGTTGAGCTAGCTTTTGCGTTGAGCTAGCTTTTGCGTTGAGCTAGCTTTTGCGTTGAGCTAGCTTTTGCGTTGAGCTAGCTTTTGCGTTGAGCTAGCTTTTGATTCTAACTATAAAATAACTCTAAACTTTAAATGATTTTATTTCTAAGCTTTAAACTACAGTCAACTCTCTTTATAACGGAATGGAAGGAACCAAAAACCAAAAATTTTTCCATTATATAGAGCTTTCCGTGTTTCCGTTAGATAGAGAGAATATCAAGTCCAAAAATTTTTCTTTAAACGAAGTTTTTCAATGCTATTTCATTTCCATAAGTGTTTTATTCATTTCTAAAAATAAAGCCATAATAAAAACGATGCAATCGTACGAATTTTGTTAAACTAATCGGGGTATTTCGGCTGCGCTACTCCTTGAACCATGATAGAACTGCCTCTTCTAAAGTTTTGTCTTTCGCTACACGTGCTCTTTTGATTGTTGGCGATAAAATCGAAGCTTCTTCTAATATTGATTCGCTTTGTGCCAAAATCGCATAAAAAGCAGTCTTCTTCAATCCGAATTTCATCATTCCTGTATTTTCCTTCTCGTTTATCGTTGATAAGTTGAGCCATCTGCACGAGAAAGAGAATTATTCGTTTAAAAAAAAAAAAAATACCGACTGGGGCTACCAGTGGTGAATTTATCGCATACACGAAATATATCAATCACAATACAACGACACACACAATACTAGGCTATATCTTAACTTAACCCACGTCATGACAGACGGCTCCCTAACCCTAAGCTCAATGGGGAACTAAATAGCTTTTTTGGTGGTGAAGGGAAGATGACGATGAAGGAGTGGCTTGTCACTTTAAAGAACTGGGGCCACAACCACCAGACTGCCCTCCAGAAAACCTCTCAACCCGAAGGGAAAGGAAATCCGAAGGGGGTGACCATGTCGCATGTGGGGTTCGAACCCTCGACCTTCCGATCGTTTTGCGAGAAAAAGTTGCGGAAACTAGCCTACCCCGTATACCTAACCACTATTTAAATATAAAATCTTACGTAATATTGAAGAGCTTAGCAGTAAATTAGTCAATTTGATGACTGAATATCTTAACTATTAGAGAGGGTGTTATATAAACGGTTCCAAATTTTTGTTCTCCGTTATAAAGAGTTTTTATGGGGGTGGGACAAATGCGACCTTTTTTTTGCGCAACTGGACATTTGCGCACCTTTTTTTGCTGGAAAAGGCCTTAGGGACGCAACTTAACGCTTTTCCGCAGTTTTTGCCTTTTACCCCAAATTTGACGTGTCAGCGAGGTCTGATTTGTCGAAATTCGGAATCTACGCATACGATTCCCTTATATGGAAATATTTTCGAAGCTCTACGGCGTTGCCTAAGGCCTTTTCCAGCAAAAAAAAGGTCGCATTTGTCCCACCCCCGTTTTTATTATATAGAATTCCGTTATATAAAGTTTTTTCATATTTACAAATCGCTTAGCGTCGGCCGGGACTCAAAATTCCATTCCGTTATATAGGAATATAGAGTTCCGCTATCTAGAGTTCTGCTATATAGAGTTCCGTTATAGAGAGAGTCGACTGTAGTTTATTTTTAAACTTTAAATTATTTTATTTTTCAAATTCAAACTATTTTATTTTTCTAACTAGCAAATAAAATCAAATTTTAAATAAAACTATCAAATTTTGTAGGATTTTAAAACAAAATCAGCCTTTTGTCTTGCAGTTAATCGGTTTTTAAGCTAGACTGGAAGATCTTTTATGCTAGACTGGAAGATCTTTTAAGCTAGACTTGAAGATCTTTTATGCTAGACTGGAAGATCTTTTATGCTAGACTGGAAGATCTTTTAAGCTAGACTGGAAGACTTTTATGCTAGACTTGAAGATCTTTTAAGCTAGACTTGAAGATCTTTTATGCTAGACTTGAAGATCTTTTAAGCTAGACTGGAAGATCTTTTATGCTAGGCTGGAAGATCTTTTAAGCTAGACTTGAAGATCTTTTATGCTAGACTGGAAGATCTTTTATGCTGACTGGAGATCTTTATGCTAGACTGGAAGATCTTTATGCTAGACTGAAGATCTTTTAGCTAGACTTGAAGATCTTTTATGCTAGACTTGAAGATCTTTTAAGCTAGACTGGAAGATCTTTTATGCTAGGCTGGAAGATCTTTTAAGCTAGACTTGAAGATCTTTTATGCTAGACTGGAAGATCTTTTATGCTAGACTGGAAGATCTTTTAAGCTAGACTTGAAGATCTTTTATGCTAGACTGGAAGATTTTCGAAAATCTTATCGGCTAAAAGTGTTGACTCAATGATTTAAGAAGATTTAACTACCAAACTAAATCAATATACCCACGCAATTGAAAAAAAATCAGAATTGAATCAGTCAAATATTTCTAAAGACTCAACAAAGTCTTCGCTGAGTGCAGAATCGGGTTTATTTACCAGGCAAACTTCAGGAAAAACTCAGGATTTGAGAAATTCAGGCAAATTGGGATCTTTACATGAATCTTTTGATCTTTAAATGAATTTCAATGAACATTCAAAAAGATTCCTAAACATTCTAAAAAGTTTCTCAAGTTTACTGTACTTTGGACACTTCAATTCTATCATTTCCTTATGCATTTCTTCCCAGCTCTTCAAATGTCACCTTTTCCATGACTCCCACTCTTTCCTCATTCGCAGCTATTTCCATGTTTCCCTCTAATTGCAATAAGTGAATCGGGATTTATGTTGAAAGAAGCAAATTCGCAAATTCATTAGGAAAATCTTTGTCGAGACAATCTTTTTGGAGATCTTTTTCTCGAAAAGAAAAGACAAAATATATACAAAATGAGTACGGTTTTTGTCTTTTTTTCTCTATTTTTCTCTTTTTTCGCTTTTTTTCGCTTTTCTTCCGCAAATTATTCATGGAGTCTTGTCTTGTCAAGAGAATAAAATGCCTTCTTTCCCGATTCTGCGGTTTACTGATCGCTTTTTTGTAGTCTAAATTAGTCTTGATTAGTCTTGACAACTTCATTGTTTTATCGAGCTTTGATTTAATAAAGAACTAATAATCTATCTCTTGAAAAGTTCCGACATAATAAGTTCCAAGGCTAATTTGATAGATTTAAGGATTTAAATTAAAAGATCAATTGATTAAGGCATCAATTGATTAATATGACTTTTTTAAAGTCATATTAATCAATTGCAATAATAATCACTGTTTTACTAATCACTAATAATAATTTAACCAAAAAAATCTGGTTTTTCTTATCTGGTTAGGTCGATTAAAGCTTTTGTTCAACCTGGATCCAATCCAGAGTTGGCAATCTTTCCCGAGACTTGTTCCCAGCTCCAGAAAAAGTGACCCACCGTACGATTACGGTTGATGGAGCTGGGAACAAGTCTCGGGAAAGATTGCTAACTCTGGATAACCGTACGATTACGGTTGATCACTTTTTCTGGAGCTGGGACAGTCTGGGGAAGATCGGGAGTTGCCCTGGATAACCGTACGATTACGGTTGATCACTTTTCTGGGCTGGGAACAGTCTGGGGGTCGGGAAAGATCCTGGAACCGTACGTTACGGTTGATCACTTTTCTGGAGCTGGGCAAACGGGGGTCGGGAAGTTGCTACTCTGGTAACCGACGTTACGGTTGATCACTTTTCTGGGCTGGGACAGTCTGGGGAGATCGGGAAGATTGCAACTCTGGTAACCGTACGTTACGGTTGATCACTTTCTGGGCTGGGACAGTCTGGGGAGTCGGGGTTGTAACTCTGGATAACCGTACGATTACGGTTGATCACTTTTTCTGGAGCTGGGAACAAGTCTGGGGAAAGATCGGGAAAGATTGCTAACTCTGGATTGAACATCGTACTGTAACAATGATATTAAATAAATAGTAAAAAACTCGGCAAAACTTTGATCTCAGTTTGGTGGTGATTACCCGTCATTCGGTAGCTAATTTTTGTATCATTGGAATCAGCGTAAAATTCTGCGTCAAATGGTCTATATATCATCAGAAAAAGGCCATGGGATTTTCTTTCCCTAAACCAAATCGTCCTTTTCTTGTAAATCGCCCTTTTCTTGTACAGTCAACTCTCGATTTAACGATTCGCTTGAGACCAAAAATTTCGATTTAACAATTCTAAAACGAGTCTCAAATTTGCGTAGCTGAATGGCAAACGATTGCAATTGCGGAAACTAGCCGAGCAGCTATGCAAAAACCAAAGACATGTTTTAGAATTCCAAAATCCTTGTATCAAGAGTCGTTAAATCAAGAATCGACTGTATAAAAGTTCACGAAAAATCACTTT